GACACATACAGTGCTGCTTGAAAGTTTGTGAACTAGTTGAGTAGTTTAGATTTTTCTTTATTTTTACCATGATTTTCTTATTTTTTCATCACCAGTTTTTGTATATGAAATGTCAGGTTTATGTTAATCAATTCCATTCATTTGTTTTGAGGAAAATGTGGGAGTTGAAAGTAAACTAAATGAAAAACGGAATCAGAGCATCTGCAAAAGTAAATGAACCACAGCTGCACTGATAAAGACAATCAGGTAAAAGACTCAGGTGAAGCACATGTGAGTGCTTGAGTAATCAATTAAGCAGACCAATCAAATGAGACGTCCTTGGGAAAAGTTTGGAGGTGCACTGGTTAAAAGGGAGACGAAACCAAACAAACCACTGTTGTGTCAAGGCATAAAGACCAGATCAACAATGCCGAGAGGAAGGGAGACATCTGAGGACATCAGGAAGAAGGTGGTGACAGCCCATCAGACTGGGGAAAGCTATAAGAACATCTCCAAAAGATTCCAGTTTCATCCATCCACTGTAAGACAAATCATTTACAAATGGAGGGCACTAGGCATTACTACAACTCTGCCCAGATGTGGACGGCCGTCAAAACTTTCACAAAGAAGCACCAGAAAAATAATAATGCAGGTAAAGGCCAACCCACGCATCACCTCCAGAGAATTGCAGACCTCTCTGTCAGCGTCTGGGATAAATGTACAACGTCTACAATCAGGCGAAATATCAATAGACATGGCATTCATGGGAGAGTTGCTAGAAGGAAGCCTGTGCTCTCAAGAAAGAACAAAGCTGCACGTTTAAAGTTTGCCAGAGAACACTTAGAGGCTTTCTGGAAGTCCATTCTCTGGACGGATGAGTCCAAAATTGAATTATTTGGCCACAATCACAGGCGCCATGTCTGGAGAAAAGTAAACACTGAATTTAAAGAAAAGAACCTCCTCCCAACAGTGAAGCACGGTGGTGGAAATGTGAAAGTCTGGGCCTGCTTTTCTACCTCTGGACCTGGACGACTCCATATTATCCAGGGAACCGTCAATTCCCAGGGCTATCAACAAATTCTTGATCAGAATCTCTTGCCATCAGTCAGGGAGTTGAAGCTGGGACGAAAATGGATTAGGCAACAAGACAATGACCCAAAGCATTCCAGCAAAAGTACCAAAGAATGGCTTAAGAGAAAGAAGATTTGCACCCTGGATTGGCCCAGTCAAAGTCCAGACCTCAATCCCATAGAAATGCTGTGGCAAGATCTGAAATGGGCAGTACATGCCAGATGTCCTTCCAACCTCTCTCAACTGGCAGAGTTCTGCAAGGAGGAGTGGACAAAAATCCCAAAAAACAGATGTGAGACACTTGTTTGTGGTTACAGAAGACGTTTAGTTGAAGTAATGGCTGCAAAAGGCGGTGCCACAAGGTACTAACTGAAAGAGTTCACATACTTTTGCACTTGGCAGATTTTCTGTCTTTGACAGATAAAATACTTTTGTTGAATAAATAATAAAAAGATGCATCTTTTTTGTCTTTGTGTTCCTTATCTGGAAGGTCCGCATTACAATTTGAGCTTTGGATGTTCATTTTACATGATTATTATAATTTTTCTTTAGAAAACAATGGCCATGTTTGGATGGTTCACAAACTTTCAAGCAGCACTGTATGT